TCGAGTCTTGCCATCAAATCAGTGAAGTATTTCATCACTTCCTTTAAAGTCGACAATCGGTTCACATCTGGAGTCCAATTGAGTCCAACGACCGGTCGGTTAATATTTTGGACCAAATGGTCATACAATGCAAACCCCATCTCCAGAGTCGGCATTAAATACAATGGTTTTCCGTTTGAGACACCATTGAGTCTGACGTGTGTTTCCACAGGAATCACAAACTTATACTTCGAGAGTGATATCTGAGCTCTTTTTATGCCATTAAAATAGGCTTTAATGATGTGATCGCCTCCGGACTCAATGTCCCGAAAGAGTCCGACAGACATGTGTTTAATTATTTTTAAATGAATCGTTTGATTACAGAGTTTTGCCAATGTTTGCTGTAATTCTGAGGCAAATATGGACTCAATTCCTATCTCTCCTAAAGTGATGTCCGCCGGAGTGGCCGACGGGTCGATACCCAGAGATCGCCACAAATTATTAATAAATGATTTCGAGCCCTCTTTGGCACTCGTGTCCAGTTTTAATACCGATGTCTCAATTGTTTTCACCTATTTTAATCACAGAATGAAGAATGTTGTTTATAGGATCTTAACGCTACCCCTCGTATAAAATGATATTACTTTACCGATAATACAATGTCAAAGTATTGAGCGAAATCTAAAGCCCGAGTCAAACCCGAACCCTTCGGGAAACTCTTTAGAGTTCGGGTCGGGTTTAGTTTTTGAAATTCGGGTTGTGTTTGGGTTTGATTTGGGCCAACCCGAATCAGACCCTAAACTCAAAAGCAAACCCTATACTCAAAGTACATGCGTGAACTCATGCTACTGTTTTTTTTGCAAACTCATATAACTAATAAGTATAAGTATACTGTTTTTTAACCACGCTATGGTTTCAATCTACAATGTAGTTTGGTATTCTTACAAAGCGTCGGTGTTTATTAAGCCACATCTCGTGGCCACAGATCCGGCAGATACAACCAGTAACTGTATAGTGTCTGTATTTACGACGGCACGCCGCCTCCCCTACGCCATCGGTTTTCATGTATGAACATGGTCACATGTGTTTAGATTCGCGCCCTTTAGAGCTTCCTGTTTGGGACGCGAACCCACAATGATGTGAGGCGCTAGACTTCAAACACTAATTTTTTAAGGCAGTGCTTTTGGCACATTACGCCAACCTCAGACCCAAATAGACAAACTAATAGAAGTTGAAAAGTATTGATTTATAGTTATAAGTGGCAACGGTTAAATTAAGCATCATAACTATGATTGGGGCGAAACTATTTATAACTTGACGTGGTTACTGTATTACCTTGATAATTTATAACCTATTATATGAGTAAGACATGAATAGAGTATCAATTACATAGCAATAAAATTGATCTGACAGTGATCTGACCCATACATAATCATAACTGTTGTGAAACGCCTGTAAAATCTAGTATTGTGTCATATTTGTTGCGTTTAGGGTTCAGGTTGGGTCTGGTTTGAAAATTCAAGTTAGGGTTCGGTTCGGGTCGATTCGGGTTGGGTCGGGTCGAAGAATTGGTCGACAGTTCGGTCATTATGTCAAAGCACATATATCTCAGTTTTCAAAATGCATACAATACTAATCATTAATACATATTAATATTCACATTTCTAAAATAGAAATTAAAACTTACATTTTTACTACAAACTACAAAGTAACATGCTCGCTCGTAATGGTAACGATGGCCCCGCTGGGCTGGTCACCATTTAATATGGGAACAATAGACCATGGTTAGGGGTCTTTGAAAATGTTGTCCATATGTCCCAGCTTAGCATTAGAGGCGGGCATGGTACTTTACAATCAATCATATTTGAACTTGATTTGATATAGTATTACCGGTAAAGTAAAGCCATTTTTAACGTAATATTATATACGTTATGTGTTAGCACACAAAGATTGCACGATTGTAAACTATGTGACAGTAACTTATATATTATTTTATAAAATTAACTACTCTATATAAGTATTTGTAAATAGCCCTGTTTACTAAATAATGGTAAAATATGAAATGGGTGATTAAATTAAATTAATTTTATAAATTTCTTAACATATCTTATACATAAATATAAACTTACATGTAATGTAATATATTTTATGTGCATAATTATTAGTAACGATTCAGTTTTACATACATTTACGGTTATGACCGGGTATTCAACGGCCAATAGTTTGTCCAATACTTCACAACACGAATGGATCCGTTGTTTCTGAGTTGTCATGAATGCGAACACTTGTGTAATGTCAGTCATAGCCCCGACGTCACCGATCGGACCAAACTGTATGGCCAGACCCGACAGGCCGTCCCTCTGTCTCTGTTCGCAAATGCGATCGCAAATAGAGTTACCGTAAGTATAGTTCAGTTGTCCCTCAAAACCCATTCCCACCGAAACCGACGAAAACACCACAAAATGGTCTAAATTATAGTCCAATTCTCGGCTCAATTGATCCAAATTCTTGCATATCTTCTCCTTTATATCAACGGTTCTCATGAATGCGTCGAAAGATATTTCACTGAAGAGACAATTGTTTAACTCGAGGGCCAAATGAAAGACACCACCGATGGGTGCGCCCAACCCTTTGCACTCATTTAACAGTTGTTTTGTGCTCTCAATAGTTAAACAGTCGGCCAAAGAGACTATAACTTGATTCTCAAACGCTTTGTTTGTTTTGCCGAAAGCTTTCAAACGATTGACAATATATTTTTGGTAATCATTTCTAATACCCGAACGGGAGGTCAACACCAATCTCTTTGCCCCGTTATATACCATCCATTGACACAATTCTAACCCAAAGCCACCCAAACCTCCGGTTATTATATAAGTCTTATTGGGATTGAAGTAAGTCTTTGTGCTAACAATCATACAATCGGCCGCTTTTACGCTTTTCCACGGCTTTCGGTTCGCCTCCTCTTCACGAATACGGATAACTATTTTCCCGATATGTTTACCGGTAGTCATGTATCGGAAGGCCTTCTCTGCGTCTTCGGTCGGAAATACCGTCCGATTCAACGGTTTTACGCAACCATTGGTGCAGTTCTGGTGAACCCAAGCGTAAAACGCGTCAAATATGTACTCCCGAGCCATAAGATTCTCGTCCAGTGAAACGCAAATAATACACAAATCCCTCAATAGGTTATACATCGGGAGCTTTCGGTTCTGAAAGAAATCCATTTTTCCCAACTCCACAAACCGTCCGCCTGTGCCCACACACTCATAGCTCGCGTCAAACTTATCGCCGGCCAAAGAGTTGAGCACCAAATCCACTCCCTGTCCGGCAGTCTCGCGCATCACTTGACTTTTGTATTGAGTACTTCTCGACGAGAATATCTTCTTCGCCGGTATTTTGTATGTATTTATAAGAAACTTTTTTTTCTCTTCAGTGCCGACCGTCGCGTATATATCGCAGCCGTAGTGTTGGCACACATTAATGGCCGCCTGACCCACACCTCCCGCCGCCGAATGGATTAATATACTCTCGCCTATCGGTGTTAACCATAGTATAATTTGTTAATAATTAATACAATAAATTACAAAACAAGGATCACACAGCGATGCTATACGTTAACCACAATTCAGGAAATGCATCAAAGATTTTAAATTTTTCAATGCTATTGTTAAAATACTTTCACTATTGTTATTTTGAGAATTTTGAATGTTTTTTACAAGAATTAGTTTTATTTATTATGTCAGATTCATTTAGTATATCTCCATAGAAAAAGCATTATCCCATTGAAATAACATTACTCCCATAGACTTAGCATTACCCATGTTATCCCTATGCCATAGACTTAGCATTACCGATGTTATTCCTATGCCATAGACTTAGCATTACTCATGTTATCTCTATGCCATAGACTTAGCATTACCAATAGACTTATTATTGCCATAGACTTAGCATTACCCATGTTATCTCTATGCCATAGACTTAGCATTACCAATAGGATTAGCATTGCTATAGACTTAGCATTACCCATGTTATCCCTATGCCATAGACTTAGCATTAACAATGTTATCCTTATGCCATAGACTTAAGCTGTAATCCCATAGAAACCCATGTTAAAGCCTCCCCATGTTAATCCTATGAGAGCTTTCCCATGTTAAAGTATAGCCATAGACTTAAGCTGTAATCCCATGTTAAATCCCATAGAGCGGGGGAGAAGGAGGGGTAGCCGAACGATCCTATAAACCACATTATTCATACTGAATTGTGGTGAAAAATTAAATGCAGCCAAACCTCGTCTGATATGCGCCCTCTCTATCAGTCCATACCAAACTGTGAAATACGGGCTCAATATAGTGACCGCCTCTTCCATAGACCAGTTGTCAGGTATTGGTGTAAACAAATACGGCTCCACTCGAATACTTGTGGCCACACTCTTGCCATAATTCATACCCATAACACGTTCCCCGGTATCGGCCCGACGGCCGGAAAACTCGTGACCAATTTGGTCTTCAGATATGTTAGAAAATGACGGTATTTTACCTGAAATTACCAAATAATTTAACCCCAAAATTACTGATTTATTATTAAGCAAATGTACAGTACAGGACCCGCACTCAATATAACACAAAATATTTATGTTATGTACACTATTATAGAATGACTACTCTTAGCTACATTATTACACTGTTAGCTCTACTAGTATGCACTGACACAATATTAAGGATTACTTGTTTCCATATTAAACTTAAATAACATTACTTATATTATTGGGTTAAATAATGTGCGGGCTTTGTATGTCTGAAATGACTAACCGGTGGCTATGAGTACGTCTCGGAAAATAACAGCCGAGCAGTAGATCTGGATTTTTACTAATTGTTTCATTTTGGTGGTCATGTCGTAGTAGTGGTCAGTCTTATGAACAGCCGTCGCGTCCGTCCACTCGAGTGACGACAAATCTCGACCCTTTCCTAAACCCAAGTAATACTCATTTGATTGGATTTTATCAAAATCTTTGCCAAAACTCTGGTATCGATATGAACCCAGTCTTCCATCTCTCATCACATTTGACACCAAATCGTTGGCCAATATATCGCTGAATGGCTTTTGAGTGAAGTCTATGTCTGTATTTGTGGTGTTTTTATCGTAAATAAAAATATATCTGAAGTGTTCGCCTCCCGGTTCCAGACGTAGACTCTTCGCTAAACCCATTACTCCGTTAATACACGAGTCGTTGGCAATGAGCCAAACCCGGGGACTGTCGGCACCCAATTCACTGGCCATCAGTAGTCTGTCCTTTAATATTGGGAACCATTGCTCTCATTTGCCGTTAAATTGTATGATATTTTGTTTGTCCGGAAGTATCGGTTCCGAGACTTTCCTTAAGAGTACAGCCATTGAACCAATTGTATCGCATTTACTGCATATCACTCTTAATCCCATTTCATTGCCATAAGTGATGAACTCATTGATCCGTTTCTCGAGATCTGAATCCGTGACTGAATTCCCAAACAATGAATTCAATGCGATCTCCGGTTCCGTCAGTTTATATCGAAATAATATTAATAGAAATCCATTGCTTTCGATGGCGTCCGACAAGTCTTGCATCAAGTCTTGTAAATCCAATTCCCATAAATGGTGTGAATATCTTAAGACAATTAAATGGTTGACTTTAAGGATTAGATTCTCTTTGATATCCCATTCAAAGGCATTAGGTTTGAGATAATCGGGTATTAAATGTTTAGATTTAACCATCAATTTGTAATCGATGTCAGACCACGTGAACAGTAAGTAAACGAGAGCTTGTTTTATATGGTTTGCCATCAAATCGTTTGTGAAATTAATTTCCGTGACTTTCATCTGTTTTACGGGTAAAACATTTTCGCCGATTATCTCAACCACAGATCGGATTAAGCGCTCGTTTTTTGTCACAAGATTTACTAAATCGTGACATAAATCGTATTCAGGATTACTCTGTATTTCATTGTATAACTTGTTTAACACGTATTTATCGTTTGGTTTAATGTTTTGTTTAGCATTTGTTTTGTGAATTTTGTCCAAAATCTTAAACATAACGTTATTATCAATGTTTGCATTTCTATAGCTTTGAATCACTTCTTCGCTAATCTTTCTATAATTGAAATCACATTTCACTTCTTTGAAACCCATTTCACGTATTTTTACGGTCATTGCTTTGCAAACCTATTAAACAAAGATTTTGTTAGATATTGTAGAAAGACATCAAATCTCTGTAATTGATCCATTATTTCTTTATTAATTAATATTACAATTAGAGAGAGAGAGAGAGAGAGAGAGACATGAGTTCATCGCCAACAACGACATTACGGCCATCGACGACAGCCATAAGAAACTACTTATTAATAATATTGAAGTTTGTACTACTTTATGCTCTCTTACTCTTAATTTAAACACAAAACACACATTTTTAGTCATGCAATCAATGCGTTATCGTTTTATTGATGATATAAAAGTATTTTAAAAGGATTAGTGTTTTATAGGAGAGATGAAAGAGGGAGAGAGAGAGAGAGAGAGAGAGAGGGAGAGAGAGAGAGGGAGAGGGAGAGAGAGTAAGAGAGCATAAAGTAGTACAAACTTCAATATTATTAATAAGTAGTTTCTTATGGCTGTCGTCGATGGCCGTAATGTCGTTGTTGGCGATGAACTCATGTCTCTCTAAAACCAAATTGGGATCAGTTTTTCTAGTGACGGGAGCGGTGACCATATTATACACTTCTATCCCGTATGTGAGCACACAATTGGTTGACGAGTCTAACACTACCGGCAATTGGGAGCGAAAGAGTTGGAACCGTTTGGTGAGATCGTTAACTGTATTGCCGTCGACATCATTTAGACAACTGTCGGCCGAACCGCTGGTTAAGGCGCCGACCACTCCTTTGCCGTCGTCTGTGTCCACCACTTTATCGGACAAACGATTCCTCTTCAACGCCTCAAAGAGTGTGTTTGTGTCGACACGTATGGCGTCAATCATCACCGGAACCATGAGTTTCCGGAAGGGAAACAAAGAACCGTTTAGTTGTAGCAAACCGTCCAGAAATGTAACCATATTTCCCGTCCACTCGATGTCCGCCGACACCCGACGGAAGTCATTGGTCCGCATATTTGTCAACGACTGAAACCCGTTGGATAACTCATAGCCCAGAATATGCATCTCTTTCTTAATGGACTCCCTGTCCAACCGGTACTCACACTCCGACACTACTGGCTGTCCATCACTGATGAGGTGTTGTTCGGTCAGCATATCGTCGGCGCCGCGACGGACAGTACCGACGGCACACATGTTGTCGCTTTCATATATACTATAATCGCCTAAATATTGTGTCAATTGAACGACAAAACAGAAAGAATTGATAATAATTATTGTAGAAATAATTAATTTCACATCAATTACCCGTTTGTTGATAGTATTTGACGGTAAGTCTTGTCGGGACGTCGGGTGCGAGAAATGTCGCCCTCAAGAACTGGCATTTCTCGAAAACTACGGACACTTTATTCCATGTCTGGCCATAAGAGGCGGCCATTTGACGCCACGCGAGCATTAGATAACCGGCCGCTGGGAACAGGTTATTGCCGTCAATCACGTGATCGCACAGGTAGTCGTCTTTATTTGCCCCGTTGTTCACCACAACATTCATATCCCCGCAAACGTACCGTAACTTGTTTTGTGGCCATTTCGGGGTATAGACCGATAGGTCTCGGCTGTGATCCCACTTCAAGAGGGAACTGATAGATGGTGTGCTTCGAGGGACCGGCCATTGAATGGGTGGGTACAGGCGCTCCACTGATGGGTTAAAACCAAATTCGTAGAGTTTGGAGATTCCCGACAGAAACTGATCCATATTTTTATGATTTGAATTTTGAGATATCAATGAAATATATCGACAATTGTTCACCGATTCTGTCATTATTTTGCTGAAGAGTGAGTGAGGGCTCAGCTCCAGTACAATAGCACCGGTGGGTATGTATTTAAGTCGTTCATAAAATTGAACAGGGTTCATTAGGTTGTGCACGAAATACTCGGCCGACGCGTATCGCAGGCACACGTCTTCGGGCTCCGACACCATTACCGAAGTGGACAACCATTTCCGCGATCGGAGCCGAGGGTTAGGCATATATTTTTTAATGGCGTCGATCATAGGCTGTGCCGATGAGCGCAGGTATTCGCTATGGAACGGTATATCACTGCTCTCTAACTGTCGCACAAAAACCCCTTTTTTATTCAACAAATCAATTGTTTCGCGCATTTCTTTCGTCGGGCCTTAAAATCAGTGCAAATATTATAAGACATTAGTTTTGTGACCACTGATTGTCTGAACGCATACCCGATATGACGACAGTATTCTTAGCGTTATTACAGACAACGAAAACCCCTTTCGGACAGACATTGAGCGCCTCAGCCATCGACAGAGGGTGCTGACGGTAGTTTGGGGAGCCATAGACACCCAGTGAGAGTCACTACCGTGGGGACTTCATGCACTGTTAGTAGCGTAGGGAACACCACTCTGTGAGCAGTCGCATTCGTGTCCGATAGAGAGCAAACGAGTGGCCAATTATGCCGTCGGGTGTGATGTCCAGCGCTTTTATCACTTCAAACATCGCTATCTCTATAGCAGTCGTCGAACAATANCCCTTGTGGTGAGACACTCGTCAGCGTAAGCACAGGCTATCTCTCCAAACGAGTGGCCAATTATGCCGTCGGGTGTGATGTCCAGCGCTTTTATCACTTCAAACATCGCTATCTGATATCGTCAGCAGCTTGTTATGAAACGTCAGTAACATCTGTAGCTACAGAACAGCAGGCTATTATTGTACATAAAATTCAGTTAGAATTTGAGCACATCATAAACTACCGTAAGAAGGTGAAATAGAGCAAATATCTTGATTGGCATCAAAGCCTTAGCCATTGCTGGCCACTGACCGCCCAAACCCGCAAATACCATCCAAAGGGGTGGAAGTGTTTTGTCTTTCATAACAGATATTTGTTTCTTATACCTGTATTTCACTTCATTTTTACCATCATTTATCTCATTGATTATAATTGATCCTAAATTAAGGGATAATAAGATTTAATAAATTATAATATTATTGAATATCAGTTGAATACCTCTGAAGGGAAAGCCCGAAGAGTTAACATTAGGCGTGTATTTCATGGATCGACACAATAGAGTGACCTTGAGAAACCAGTGAAAGAAGCCGCTTGAAAGCTACTTTAAGTACTATACAAACTGGCTGAGAAGCCAAGCCGGCGTCTAGTTGTGGTTAGCCCGGTAGCCAAGCGTGTCAGATACCGACAGTGGCTTCGGCACCCGTGGGTTGGGCTCAACGATCACGTGATCGTTCACTCCTCCGATACCAAAGTTGTTCACTGCAGCCAAACCTTAGGGTAGATATCATTTCGATAATTATAAAATAATGTTATAGTAGAGGTGTGGCCACACATACCCGGTTTATACTTAAGCTTTTGTGTGACCGGCAATAATGGCGGACAGTATTGTCTGAACTCTTGCTTAAGATTCTTGAGATTAATGTTCGGAGGAATGCATTCATTTTCAAAAGCAATCATCACTTTAATGAGTGACGTCAGACCGGAGGCGCCCTCCGAGTGACCCATATTGCTCTTCAGGGTTCCCAACGGCAGGGCTTGTGTCCGACCCGTGCGCTCACAATAGGCCCGGTATATGGCCTTCACTTCAGCCGGATCTCCAGCCTATTTTAATAATCATTAAACAATATTATTGTTAAATCAAGTATCTAATCGGCCAATAATGTTATGCAACTTGATAATTTAAATAACTCTTAAACGAAATGAGCTGGATCAATTTTGTAAAAAGTAAAATAGAGTTCCATGTCTAGTTTTTTTGTATCAAAAAAATTATTGAGATCACGTGAATAAAACACAAAAATTTTCGAGTCAAATCGATTGGTCCCGGTTTCTGTCTAACTGGTGGGGGTCGAAAAAGGGCGGGTATGCTATTCTATAAAGAAGATGTCAAAGTATAATAATAAATTAAACCATCTTTATCAGATTCATAGATTTTACACAGTAGGTTAGCAAACTATGGAAAAAGAGGGGAGGGAGGGGGCAGAACGATCCTATAACATGTTAAATTTAGCAATCCCATGTTAAATTTCATAGGGTGGGGGAGGGGGAGGGAAGAGGGGAGGGAGGGGGCAGAACGATCCTATAACGATCCACATCATTCATATCAGAATAGTGGTTAAAAATATTACTGTATATTCAAATATGATTAACTATATTTTGTAATACAACATTAAATGCTAATAGTGTTAGCAAAAACAATTTTTGAAATTTATTGTTCTAAAGGAAAAATATCGTAAATTGAAATATTGAGTTTTACCTTTTAAAACTCAAAAAAAATAATTTTTTAATTGACTATATTTTGTATATAAAATGAAATTTTTAAAAAATTATTTTTAGCAATATTATTAGCATTTAGTGTAGTATTGTAAAATATAATTAATTATAGTTAAATCCATTCCAACCCACCCCACCAGTTAGATAGAAACCGAGACCAATCGATTTGACTCGAAAATTTTTGTGTTTTAATTATTGTATCAAAAAATTAGACATAGAACTCTATTTTACTTTTTACAGAATTGATCTAGCTCATTTCGTTTAAGAGTTATTTAAATTCCCGAGGCGCATAACATTATTGGTCTATTAGATAATAAATAAAATAATTGTATATCTGTATAACATAATTAGTGTTTACAGTTATTTGGTTAAACCAATAAAACCAAATAAAACACCAAATTTAAAAATAATACAATTTGGTTTTATTAATTTGTATTGTTAGTAGTGTTTGACGTTTCCCATTTTTAAAAATATCTACCAGGAAAATAGTTTTGCGCCGGAAAATTTTTATATTCCTTAAAATTAAGAAAATAAGACAAATATGTTTTCAAACGATGACCAATCGATGAATATAAATACTTTTATCGTACTTATTACATGTGCCCTAACGTGCTTAAACATAATAGAGTAGAATATTTTTAAAATATATTTAATTAATTTAATTTAAATCATTTTGTAAATTATTTTGTAATTAAAATTTAATAATTTCTCTCAAATGATGAAGTAATGCTATAATAGTGACAATTAATTCTTTGTTATTCATAAAAAACATTATAAAAGTAATTGACTACTGTTTTAAATAAAATTATTTTTATACTTTTCAAACAATTTATCCATAATTATACTTAAAATAATCATAATTTTTAAAAAAATATATTTCCAATTGTTACACTAATTGTTAGTAATGTGTATATCGGGACAAATTATCCGGGCCCTTTGTTTTGCCAAATTTTTAAAATTATTTTATACATTTGTTCATTGTTTAGTTGTTTTTCGATAATAAAATACCAAAAATAAAAAACATTTCGAATAAAAGTTAATTTATTTGGCAAATAAAGGGCAGAAAGAGGATTATGCTTTATTAAGTAATCTGGAATAAAATATGATTAAAACAAATAAAACCAAATTTTAAAAAAATTATTGATTAAACACAACATAACACCAAATAAAACTCACTAAATTTAAGAAAATAATAAAACCAAATTTCTGTGAACACTAAACATAATACTGTATACAAAACATTCATACCTTAGTGCCGGTGATGTGGGCCTCAATGTATGTGAGGTCGAGGGGATCGATGCCAGCCTTGGTATAGGTGTCGACCATAAGCTCTTCCTGAGCCTCACTGGAGGGGCAAAACATACCGATAGTCTTCTTGCCGTCGTTGTTAATACCGGCCGATCGGACGCTGGCGTACACACGACAGGCCGACTGCCGGCGCTGTAAGAGTACACAACACACGGCCTCTCCCTTCACGAAACCGTCGGCCGACTCGTCGAGAGGACAGGACTGACCCCTCGG